AGTGATCCGCCTGTTTACAGCTTCCTGAGAGCTGGGATTACAGGCGTGCCACCACCCCCAGTCTCCATTGTCTCAGTGTGCCCCAGGCCAGGCCTGCACAGATTGAACCCCTGGCTCCTGTGCCCGCTTGCAGGCATTTTAATCCGCTGAGCTATTTGACTGGCCCCACAAAATCATGTTTAAATCTTAAAATAGTGTAACCAACAAGGAACTTCAGAATTTTTACTTTTTTTTTTTAAATTTATTTGTGTGTGGGGTGTAGGTGTGGCCAGCTCAGCCCACCAGGGGGCGGGGCTGGCTGGCATGTGGTGCTGGGGGATTGAACCGTCATCCCTGTGCTTTGCTAAGCTTGTTCTAAGTAGGTGCTTTAGACCACTGAGCCATCTCACCGGCCCAGAATTTTTACTTTTGAATTCTGATATTCTAATTCACTAAAATGTGGTGGTGTTGGTTTTGGTACTGAGAATTTTTGGGTACTGGGGTGGTACCAGGGCTTCATGAATGCTGGGCTCTACCACTGAGCTATGTTCCCAGCCCTGTATGATTCTTGAGAGTCTTAGCTTTGCACAGTGGTGCATGACTGTAATTCCAGCACTCTGGAAGGCTGAGGCACTATCACAGATTCAAGTCCAGTCTCATTATATAGCAAAAAAAATTTAAAATTTAAGAATTAAGGAAAGAAGGGAGGGTGTACCAAATTGGATTTCTCATCCTATACTGAAACCCTGATTTAGGTTTTGTGTTCGATGGCTAATATTAAACAAAAAAATTTGTGTGTGTGATAGGAAGTATAAAGATCCTCAGTTTAAGTGCTAGCTCCAGCCCTGCCTTCCTGCCTTATCCCTATTCGATGCTTATTTCCCCCTTTTTCTTTCTTCTTTCTTTCTTTTTTTTTTTTTTTTGTATTTAGGGAAGGATCTACAGGGTGGTCAGGGTGTTGCTACTAGATATGACTGGACTCATAGTGATCCACCTATTTACAGCCTCCCAAAGCTGGGATTACAGGCATGCACCACCATGCCTGGGGATTGAACCCCTGGCCCCTGCACCTGCTTGCAGGTGCTTTAATCCGCTAAACTATTTGTCCAGCCCTCTTACCCCTTTTTCAAAGTGGAATAATAATAGTTTTATGCTCAGGGTCAGTATCTGACTCAGGGTCACTAAGAGAATTAAATAAGGTAGTATATATAGTGCTCTCTGTTTTGTTTTTTTTTCTCTTACGTCAATCATCCCTTTTTAAAAATTTTTGAATTTGAGGTTGGGTCTTATTAAATCACCTAGGTGGGCCTCAAACTTGCAATCCTCCTGCCACAGCTTCCTAAGTAGTTGGATGTTAGGTATGCACCTCACACTTGGTTTTATAGTTGTTTCTTACAGTTAACATACTGTGTATGCCAAAAATTGTTTAGTATGTTATTGTAGTCTTATTAATATTATCACCATTGTTGGTACTATGTAAGAAAGCCACTTATTTCTCTATATTATCTGAGATCGCCTATCTGTAAAATATGAAGTCTCACTTCCTAAATTTTATGAAATAAGACAATAAATAATTTCAAAAACGTGAAACAAATATTAATGAGAAAGATGCCATGTACAGGATATTCCCTTTTTACTTAACTATTTTGTTTGTTTGTTTGTTTGTTTTTGGTACCAGGAATCAAACTCACAACCTCATGCTTGCCAGGCAGGTGTTGTGCTGCTAAGCTATACCTCTGGCCATTCTTTTATTATTTGAAAGATACTTTTGCTTCCCCTTTTAGAACACAAAAATTTTTACATGAAGAAAGTAAAAGTATCTAGTTTTTGGAAGAAATAATTTTTCAGGGCCAGTGAGATAGCTCAGCCGGTTAAGCACTGGTTTAGGCAAGCACAGGGACCTGGGTTTGATCCCTGGTACCACATGCTATGCTGGCCCCAGAACTATGGGTGTGCCATGCCTGGGCATGATGATGCACATCTGTAATCCCAGCACTGGGGATGCTGAAAACAGGAAGATCACTACAAATCTGAGCTATATAGTGAGATGCTGTATCGAATACAGAAAGCAAGAAAGCAAGAAAGCAAGCAAGCAAGCAAGCAAGCAAGAAAGAAAGAATTTTTCAGTCATAAGTAAAAGAGTACTGTGGCCCAAGTGGAAATGGGATTAAAATTTAAAAGCTGAAAAATGGTTTTTGTTTTGTTTTGTTTTGTTTTTTGGCAGAACAGGAGATTGAACTCAGGCCCTTGCACTTGCCAGGGAAGCACTTACTCCACTAAGCCATCTCCCCGACCCCTTGAAAAATAGTTTTGAGAGCCAAGTGTGATGGCACATGCCTATTATCCCAGCACTTGGGAGGCTGAGGCAGGAGGATTGCCATGCTGAACTGTGTAACAAGACCCTGTCTCAAAAAAAAGCCAGAGATACAGCTCAGTAGCACAATGCTTTCCTGGCAAATGCAAGGTCCTGCCAGGATTCCAAGTACCAAACCCATCTCCCCACCAAAAAATGATTTTGTTTTGTTTTTTGAGATATCAGCTTGCTATGACCTTGAACTCATGGGAGTCTTGCTGCAGGCTTCTAATGCTAGAATTACAGGATTACCCTCATGTACACTTGAATTTTTTAAGGAAAGCTCTGTTAAGTGTCTTGGGCATCTTTTCCTATTCCTCATCCTGTTTTCTTGACGGGAGCTCAGCAAAGGATAGCTTTGTAGTCCTGCCTTATCAATGAAACACTACAGGTCAGTTAGCATAGGTTCAATTTAATTGTTTCATATTTAATTCTCTACATTGATCCATTGATCCATTGACATGACATGTTCATTTCACAGGATATTGGCATTCTAAGATTATTTTTTTCCTTTTTAACAGATAAAAGGTCAGGAAAGGGAAAGTGAATATAATGTATTTAACATTATATTTGAGATTGAAAATACAACATATCCTAAGTTTCCAGTCCCATTTCCAGTTGTTCTCAGGACACACTGAGATAGTGTACAGAGGTCTTGGTGTCATGCTCATGTGGATGCTAAACATCAGGACTTTGATGGGTCTTCTAAGAGTAACTAACCAACCTGAAATATTTGTGGCACTCTTATTTAAAGAATTTGACTTCTTAGTGGACCTTCTCTCTAGGAAGGCAGGGTTCCTTTCACAAATTCTCTTGTCTAATAGAAGTTATTTCTTTAGTTAAGTCCTTTGTGTTAGGACAGCTGGTGAAGTCAATTCTCTGGAAATAACCTAGTTGTGTTGGGATTTTTTTTGTTGCTGTGTTGATGGGACAGGCTGGGCAAGAATCCTTCCGTTCTATCACCCGTTCCTACTACAGGGGAGCAGCGGGAGCACTCCTGGTGTACGACATTACAAGGTGAGCCAGTTCTGGTGTGTGGGAGGGAAATGTCCAGAAATTCCCTAAGCTTTACTTCTCTGTTGATTGGTGCTGTTTAGGATGGTAACTAGGAATGGCCTTTAATTTACCCATATAAAACGTTGTCCTGTTTCATATACAGTTAGAGTTACTTTGGTCTTTTGAAATGGCCTTCTGACCAACTTTCTAAACTTCTCTTACTATAGGCGTGAAACCTTCAACCACCTGACATCATGGTTAGAGGATGCCCGTCAGCACTCCAGCTCTAATATGGTTATCATGCTGATTGGGAATAAGAGGTAAACATTTTATTTTTATGAATAATAGCTAGTAGGAGTCATCTGGGCACTCTATAAATGTTGAATTTCTTTGTTTCCAGACTTACTTTTTTTTTTTCAGACTTACGTTTGTGTGTTTGTTTTTCGTGGAACTGGGGATTGAACTTAGGACCTTGCACTTGCCAGGGAAGCATTTGTTCTACTGAGCTATCTTTCCTGCCCCTTCAGACTTACTTTTATTGTACAGTGTATATAAGATGGAATACACTGTTGTGACTATTTGGAGAGAGGTACAAATTTGGGGGTATTGGCATCTCTCATGTCTTTATATAACTCATGCCTAATAAATGGAAATCTTGTGAATTTGTCATAGTACTTACTCCTAGATTTTTTCATGGTTGAAAAACTGGAAACTGAAAAAAAAAAAAAAAGAAAGAAAAATTCTTACTGGACATGGTGGTGCACACCTATTACCCCAGCCAGCACTTGGGAGGCCAGGGCAGGAGGATTGCCGAGTTTGAGGCCAGCGTGAATTACACATCAAGACCTTGTCTCAAAAAGGAAAAAGAAAATTTCTAATGAAAATTTCTGGTTTAGAAAAAACATAACACCTTTTTTTATTTCTTGCTTTTTCTGAAACAGGGTCTCACTCTGTGGCTCAGGCTGGCCCTGAACTCACCATATAGCCAATGCTGGCCTTGACTTTGGGGTGTTCTTCCTGCCCTACTCTCCCATGTGCTGGAATGGCAGATGTACGCCACAACACCTAGTTCTTCCCAATGTTTTTTTCTGTCAGTCTTTTATTAATAGTCTTTTCACACTGCTTTATCCCCTCTCTCCATGCTTGGTTTTTCTCCTGGGGCTGCCTAAGCTTACTCAAGTCACCATCTCTAAATCCCTGGTGCAAACAGATGGGCCAGTGAAAGTAAAGTGCCTGTGCTCTCCCTGTTCATGGCTCTCCCTCCTATTGTGGGCTGGTTTCAAATAAAGAGACTCATCACTACACGGTGGAATTTCTATCACTTTCCTGCCTTCTAGAAAATTGTGTTGCCCTTTAGGGTTTTTTCCCCCCTTTAGGTTTTCTTTTTGCTTTCTCTGCTTTGGTCATCTGGATCTCTCTCTCTTGGAAAAGAAACATAAAATATAAGCTTTGAGTGGCAGTCAAGCTTATCTAACCCTTAATAAACTTTTTTTCCCCCTCTGATAGTGTAAGGTGTTATCATCAGGCACTCAGCAGCTGTCCTAATTCTGAAGACTTTTCTAAGGCTAGAGAAATTAATAACCCTATGCAAGAGAGTATCATATAAGATCTATATTCTTTGTTGGTTAACTGGCAATTTAAGCTGCTATGAGATTCTTTCGGAGTTTCCTCTTTTCTTTGGATTTCTTTTGTTTTTGTTTTTTAGTCTTCTGCCCAATTAATCTCTTGCAGTGATCTAGAGTCCCGCAGGGATGTGAAGAGAGAGGAAGGAGAGGCCTTTGCTCGGGAGCATGGATTGATCTTCATGGAGACTTCAGCCAAAACCGCCTGCAATGTTGAAGAGGTACTATTTTGGAAAAAATGGGGAAGTTCTTCAGAGGGTGCACCATTGTCTTTGTGGAGTTACTCAAAATTCTCTTCTGTAGTAAGACATGGGCAAAGCTGGGTATGGTGGCACACCCCTGTAATCTCAGTGCTTGGAAGGCTGAGGCATGAGGATTGCTGTGAGTTTGAGGCCCGCCTGAGCTATAGAGTGAGTTCAAGGCCAGCCTGAACTGCACAGTGAGACCCTATCTCAAAAAACAAAACAAAACAAAAAAAGGCATGGGCAAAGAAAGACTATTTTGTGAGCATAGTAACTAAATGTCTCTGTTTAAGGGAAATGTCCCATCATCTTTTACCTTGATTCCTAAGATTTTACTTTTTCTTCGGGAGGTATTAATTAGTAAATGGAAACTAGACATCACTATTACTTGTAAATTACTTTGTTGAGGGATTTAATGGGTTCTAGTATAGTCATTCCTAGATTTGGGGTTATAACCACTGTATTTAAGTAATAGAATTTGTGTGTCATTCTTGCACAGGGGCCATGCTAATCTTCTCTATCATTCCAATTTTAGTGTATGTGCTGCTGAAGCGAGCACTTCAGTAAGCAATAGAGAAGAAAGCATGTTTATTTGCAGAGGGTGCCAACTCAGGAATCCTAGTAATATCTTGAGTCATTACCAGAACAGTATGTAATCCTTTTATCTTCTTGAAGCTACTGTCTGGCATTTTTTTTTTTTTTTTTTTTTTTGCTTCACAAGTTTATTAATCACTTGGCAAACTTAAATTTGTTTTTTCTATCAGTGGTTTTTATAGCAGTATTTTTTTTGGGAAAGGGGAATCTATATTTTTGTTCCCTTTTAATGACTTCTGATTCTTTTTTATTTGTGGTACCAGGGATTGAACTCAGGACCTTGCACTTGCCAGGCAGGTGCTTATTCTACTGAGCTATCTCCCCAACCCCTTGGAAATCCAAATAGGAATAATATTTGTATTCTCTTTCCCTCGTTTATTTACCTAAACTTAAGACTAATGCGTGATTTTTTGTGTGTCCTTTAGGCTTTCATCAATACTGCCAAAGAAATCTATAGGAAGATCCAGCAGGGTTTATTTGATGTTCACAATGAGGTGAGAAAGGGTAGTGGCAGTGGGGTTGCTGGCTGTTAACTGCATTTTTTGAACAGGAATGGAAGAGCCCTAGAATGTAAGCATTCCCTAAAATACTAGGTGTACCTGTCCCAATCCAAGCTGTTCTGTTTTGATTTTTTTTTTTTTTAAACAAAGGTACATAGAAACATGTCATCATTTTCTTTTTTTTCCTCATCTGGAATGCTTAAGAGATTATTAATAAGTGATTTTTTTTTTTTCTTTGTGGAACTGAGAATTGAACTCAGGCCCTTGCGCTTGCCAGGGAAGCACTTATTCCACTAAGCCATCTCCCCAGCCCTAGTAAGTGATTTAAAAGACTTATGTAATATGACAGTTTTTCTTCTCAAACTCAGTTTTGTTTTCTTTCAGCACCAGAGATTAGTGCTGTTTTATACCCCCCTTTTTTTTGTATTTTAGGGAAGGGTTTACAGGGTGTTCAGGGTCTCACTATTAAATATAATGATCTCCCTGTTTACAGCCTCCCAAGAGCTGGGATTATAGGCACACCACCATACCCAGTCTCTTTTTTTTTTTTTTTTTTTTTTTTTTTTTTTGGCGGAACCAGGGATTGAACTCAGGCCCTTGCGCTTGCCAGGGAAGCACTTATTCCATTGAGCCATCTCTCTGGCCCCTTATACCCAGTCTCAATTGCCCTCTTAGTGCGCCCCTTACACCACCCCCACCCCCCACCCCTATGCCTGCTTACAGGTGCTTTAATCCGCTGAGCTATTTAGCTGGCCCTTATACCCCTTTTTAAGGTGCATTGCAGGGGGCCTGCCCCTTAGCTCAGTTCTTTAAGTGGCTGCTTCCACAAGGCAGTCAGGCTCAGGTTGCTGTGGTTCGATCCCCACAACACAAGACAGCCAGTCATGCCTTGAAGGCATTCGAAAAAAAAAAAAAAAAAAAAAACACTTAAGGTGCATTGCTGAACTTAATTTTCATAGCTATGTGCAAAATTAAGATGTGGTAAGTTAGGAAAAGATAGGAGTACCTGTTGCAGTGGCATTACCTGTAAGCTATTTAAGAGGCAGAAGGAGGAGGATTGTAAATTCAAGGCCAGCCTGGATAACTTAGATCCTTCTCAAATTAGAAAATCCTGCATCTTCTTCCTTTGATCCTTCCAAAACAAAATTCTGGGGGGCTGGGGATATAGGTTAGCAGCACAGCCCTGCATGTGAGATCCTGAGTTCATTTCCTGGTACAAAAGGAAAAAGACAATACCAAAACTTAATTTTTTTTTTTTTTTTT